GTTTTCATTTAAGTGTAACTTTAATTTTTGTAGTCAGGAATGTGTACGGTCATGATTTTGTGATATGAACCTGTGAACAATGTATGTGCCACGACCAAGGGCGAGATTGCCTTGCCGAAAATGAACCGAGAAAATGTGAATAGCCGGTACTTCAGATATTGGAACAGTTACGGAAAAGGTCACGTTCTACCAGAAACTCTTCAGAGGGAAAGAGTCCAAATTGCTTGCGTTCACGAGACAAACTGAACAATTGAAAACTCGAAAGAGATCGGACTAGGATATAAACACAGTTACAATGAAGCATAAATATGAAGAAATTGAATTGTACTGAATGAAGTGATCAAAGACAAGGTATTCGAGATCAGCCAGTTAAATGTGTACGCCTATCATACTGGTCAGAGTGGATCCGGAAAATCCAAATTCTGGTAGGTCGTAGACATTGCTATGCAAAACATACCGCGAAGCGGAAACGTGTAATCGGGATGACCTTAACGGGCACGTCGGCAAATGTCTAAAGAGTTACGACAGGATCTATGGCAGACATGGATATGATATGTTAAATACGAACATCTTGCACATGGCAGCCTAATATGATCTGGCTCTGACAGACACGTTCCTCAGTAAAAGAGAAAGCCACCTGCTAACTTAAAAAGCAATCAGATGAAAAGCTAGATCGACTACTTCTGTCTCCGAAGAAATGAGCAGAAGAACCTGAGAGATAGCAAGATTATTCTGCGAGAAACTGTCGTAATCCAGCACCAGCCACTGACCCTGTACCTTTCTCTCTGAAACAAACCATTCACAAGGAGGACAAATACACTGCTGGAAGCTCGAAAGGACTGAAAGAAGCATTTCAAATGGAAGTTGCGAGAAAAATAACGTAAAAGACTGAAATAGTAAAGTAGACGAGATATGGAAGGATGACCAGCATTATCGTAGGGAATGCCAGAGGGTTTAGTTGGAGAAAGAAAAGGCGCAGCACTTATCCAGGAAGAAACGTGGTGGTGTAATAAGAATGTGAAGGCAACCCTGCGACAGAAGAAAGAGCTGTTCAGGAAATGGTAGCTATCAAACAGCATAAAAAACAAGATAAAGTATTTCATACCGGAGTTGGAAGCAAAGAAATCGTCTCCAAAGCAATGCCAAAAGCGGAAACTAAGAAAGGGGAAAAGATGCCTATTGCATAGGAAAAGCCATAGAAAGAAGACCTAGAAATGCCGGTAAATAGCGTGCATGAAAGAAGAAAACGAAATGGTACTGATTAGTTAGAAAAATATTCACAACCGATGAAGAATACACTCCAAACCCTATCGAACGAAGGATAATTCAAAGAGGCCGCGGAAGAGAACCCTGAAACCAGGTATTAGATCACACCCAAAGAAGTGGAGTATGTCTTTGATCGAATAAAAAATTAAAAGTCTCTTGGCCCCGATTGAGTTCCCATAGAAGCATAGAAGATATTCAGAGAAGAAGGTGTGGTTTAGCTCTGTAAATCTGATAAAATCATGGAATGTTAGATGATTCCAGAATCATGGATAAGGACTTTGATACAACATGGAAGGGGATGTGCTCGCTTGTGACACCAATCGGGGAATTAACCTTTTCAGTCGCATCATGTAGTTATATGAAAGAGTGCTGCGCCAAAGATTTAGGAGGTCGATATCGCCGGAAACCATTCTGTCTTTATGCAAGTTCGGTCAACCACGGATGCCATCTTTGCTTTAAGATCCGCCCTCGAAACATGCAGAGAAGGCAGACAGGGCATTCACTAGGTGTTCCTAGACCTTGAGGAAGTTTTGACCGAATCCCGAGGCAAGCAATCTGGTGGAGCATGAGAAAGAAGCTGATGATAGAAAAATTTGTCAGGCTGACCAAAGACACGTACGACAAAGAGACAACGATGGTTCGCAGTAAATGCGGCGAAATGGATGATTTCGACAGTGACTTAGCAAATCGGTCGATGATCGACAATACGACGATGATGAAGATACCAGTCAGCAACGGAGCCGCTACCCGTTCTGAACGGAAGAGGCAGACCGCGCGATTCCATTACAGCACGTCAGATTAGGCTCCACGGTAACAACACCGACAGTGAGAGCTAACAGTCGGAAATTTGAGCATCCTCATTCACTGGGAAAGAGCAGCAGCTAGTTGATGAGATCTCAAGGTACCAACCCGACATGGTTACATGGTTGGACTCTCGTCAACGAAGTGCAGAGGCTCTGGAATTGTGAATCTGCGCGCATAAGCTATTCTCAGGTTCGACATCAAGCCGTGCGCTCAGGCCGGTGTTGGTGTTCTGATAGAACTCAACCTCGCAGATAGAATCATTGATTGAATGCCTGTCAGAGGAAGGGTGGCAATACTTCGACTGAAGCTACAGCTGGCTAAAGCCTTGACCTTGTTACGGGACAGTGCGCCGAACCTGCATGGAGAATAGGAGTCTTTCCTCGGGGAAGGGAAAGGTGCTGTATAGGAAGTGCAGATTATGGAACCCGTCATTTTAATGGGCAATTTCACATCAGTGTATCTGAAATAGAGAAGCCTGTGTACAGAGGTCAGAGATCGATTTAATCGTATCGTCTAGCTTAAGACTCACAGTAATGGATGTTCACGTTAAGAAAGGCGCAGAACTATCAGTCGATCACCACCTTGTTGTTGGTACGCTGATCTGTAAGAAATTGAGTACAATATGAAGAGCTGGTGGCAGAAGTAACCAGAGAATCAAAAGGGTAACGTCTGTGGATACGAGGGCAAAATTTGCATGCAGCGTCGTTCCACGGTTTGAGCAAATCTCATGATAATCGCTGATGTGGTAACCGAGCGGAATCTCTTTATGAGTGAGTTATTCAGGTGTGGCGTTGAATGCTGCGCTCTCAAATGGGTTGGCCTGCCGCCTCGAGGTCAGAAATTTCCTGTACGACACGAGCAGTATAGTTGGCTGTCACCGAGAAAAGATTGCATTCAAGATATGGCTTTGAAGCAAAGAGCATTCAACTCGAGTGCGGAACGCAGAAGCACGCAGTGCGACAGCGAAAGCATAGGCAAAAGCGTAAGCTGATTCGTGGATGAAGGTCGGTAAGGTATTGGAGTCGAATTTCACTCGGCAAACAAGGTGTTCTGGCAGACCATTCCCGGCCTCCGTGGTGAAAAGAACGGCAGTTTCAGAGTCTCGAAGGACAGGTCTGGATACCCTCTTACCAAAGATGAGGACATTCTTCAGCGATGAAGTGGGTTCTTTGAGGAACTCTTTAACCCCAAGCAAGCGCAAGAAGACTCGCTGAAGTTTTCTTTGAACGGATATTACTATTTCCGTAAATGAAATCATGCAATCTATGAAAGCTTTAAAAGTGGAAAGTCTGTTGGAATTGATGAAAACCGCCATGAAACCCTTAAGGCATAATGCGGATGGGGCATATGCTGGCGTGCATGTGACTGTTAAACTGCACTGGCTACGGAGAAGATATCAACGGACTGGAGAACGGGGATGTTGTATTACTCCTGTTCAAGAAAGAAGACCACGAGGAGTGCTCCATTTATCCGATCATTGCCTTGTTGAGCCTCCGTGCCGCGGAATAGCTTACTCCAAATTACAAGAGCTGTGTGGCTTCCGGGCTGGCCATAGTAA